TCAGGCTAAATTTACAAAACAATTTGAGCACGAGAGAAAAAGCGTGAAGTATGGAAGAAAACGCTTTACTCCAAGATTTGATTATTTACAGAAAATCTAGCATATTATATGTGTTATAACTTTGGTCTTGCGTTCTATTAATGTATAACGTAATGATACCGCCGAATAAAAAACGGTGATTTATCCACCGGACTAATGACGCATAATGCACGTACGAGCAGTCAAGAGTTTTGATTGATCCTGCTTCTTGCTTAGCCCAGCCAGTTAAGTCCAGAACACCAATTTCAGCCTCTGCAATATGAATCCTTATATTTCAAACATACTCGGTTTATATATCAACCAGACAGACCATATTGTACCATAAAATAGGAAACAACATTTGTACAAGAATTAGCCAGAAGTGACTGTGAGTGTGGGAAGTAGTAATTAATCAACAGGGCATGATTCAAGAATGGTAAATCGTAGAATAATAGTTCATAGGACAAAATAAAGCTCATAATAAGAGGGACATGAATATATATAGTTTAGTTATTAAAAACTTATACGATAACAATATACGAATAGTATTGATCCATAAATGGATCCCAAACGTTACTATTCATTATTCTTATCGAGACATAACACTTACACTAATCTGGTCGTTATTGTTCTTCTTTTTTTCTTTTACGCTCCCTACCTTCTTTTTTTGTCTTCCCATTCTCATTGTTTTGTGTGGCGCACACATATTTGGTGCCCTCCTGTACCGATATTTGTGTGTCCAAATAAATAAATAATCAACGCTTATGAACTCCACTAGTCATAAATTCACACTAGGACTTCTACTGGTTAGACATTCATTAGGAGAGTTGAAGGTCTTGAATTCGATCACTAACAAACCCATCTCTTATCAAATCCATTAAGATACAGAAAGAATATCAATGGGACAATAATGAAATGTTGTTAGTACGAATACACCATTTAAATGTAAATGAATGGTTGTTTTGAATTATTTATGTTACATTTATCTAATGTTAAAATATTGTCAATAATGCTAACATTTATGTATGTACCATCTTACCATCACACACGATCATATAGGGAGGGGAAATTCAAGTCACTGACACTTTATAAGATCAATGATAACTTCAGACTACTTCGTTGATAAAACGTTGAGTGATATATTTAAAACTTTAGTCACTTACCTGTACTTTCTACAAATTCCATCACAGTCACGTAGGTGTATACACACGTTGTCTTTCCTTAAACCGTGAAATTAAATTTACTTTATATCTTTCTTTCTATGAAATAATCCTTCCTTCCTTCCTTCCTTCCTTCCTTCCTTCCTTCCTCTATTATATCTTTATACATAATCTTTCTTTCATATATTACTACCATGTAAGTTAGTCCTTCTATGAGGTGTGACAAATTGAACCGATGCATACATGTGCCTGGTGTTACATTGTAACTGACTGATCACCTACAAATAATATTCTAATTCAAACAGAGCAGATGCTTATTTATGATGAAGATCACTTACAAAATGAAGAATTCTCACAGATGTATAGTTTTGTTTTCTTATGCATTTCAATGGAACTTATATTAGATTTCCATAAAAGACATCGAGTTAGAACTCGATTATGAGGATTTTTCAGTGAATATTTCCAACCGTAAAAACGATACCAACACCGATGTTAATCATATTGACATTTATATCTCATATGAAAAGAATTACAAGTTTAAAATCACTCATGTAATATCCTTTTGTTTATATCCAGTATACTTTAACTAATTACATAATCAATCAATAGAGTATTTTTGATTGAGATCATGAACCGATCGATGTTAGATCACCATTGAAAACCTGGAAGCACTGGACGGCCGTTTTGTCCTATTATGGGACTCCTCAGCAGTGTGCATCCACGACCCCGCTCGCGGGATTCGAACCCAGGGCTTTCAGTCTCGCGCGCAAACATAACCTATTGAACCACTGAGCCGGCATCCACTGGTGATAATGTCTAACCTCAACCAATCCACGAAATTGCGCGATGGTCGTACAAGGCCCTGGGTTCGAATCCAGCGAGCGAGATCGTGGATGCTCACCGCTGAGGAGTCCCACAACAGAACGAAACGGTCGTCCAGTGCTTCCATGTTTCCAAAGGTGGTCTAACATCAATCGGTTCATGATCTCAATCAAGAACCTAACAATCTTCACAGCCACTATACCGACAATAGAGTATTCATTCCTTCGTATGTTTTTCTTCATTTCTTGTTTTACTTCAAAATACACATAACATTTTTTCCAAAATAGTAATGTAAGACAATATTCTAGTGATTATGTCATAAAGAATATTGTTCAAATGAATCGATCGATAGATTGAAATGATAAATCATCAAACATTTTCCTTCGTTTTTTTTTGTTGTCTAAAAGAGAAAAGAAACACTTTCTGATGAACAGAACTGATTGTCTACTTTCCAAATCGATATCCAATAGATTAGACAGAAATTATCAAGCGAAATGTTATTTGTAAAGTTCTATGTATACTACATCAATGTGAAATTACGTTAGGTCCCGGTAAACATAATGAATGGTAACTTTGGGATCCATTTATGGACCAATACTAAACGTATACTTCTATTGTATAATTATTAAGTAACTAAACTATGCATATTCATATTCCTCTTATTATAAGCTTCATGTTGACCCATAAACTATTATTATACGTTTTACCATTCTTGAGTTATGGCCTGTCTATCAATTACTATCTCTCTCATTCACAGCCACATTTGGCTAATTCTTGTACAAATGTTGTTTCATATTTTATTGGTACGTTGTGGTCTGTTTCCTTGGTATATAAACAGAGTATATTTGAAATATAATGATTCATATTGCAGAGGCTGAGATTGGCGTTCTGAGCTTAACTGGCTGGTCTAGGCGGAAAGCAGAACCAACAGGAACTCCAGACTACTCGCACATGTTTTACGCGTCCTTGGTCCGATCGAGAAGTCACTGCCCTCTAATCGAAGGTCACAAGATATAACAAATTATGATTTAATAGGTCTACATAGAGATTATTTTCAAGTATCAAGGGACAAATCTATAAGTGAATGAACATCTAATTCGCTGTACTTTCACAGAAACAACTCTTGTTCGCTTTCACTTACTTGTGACTGTTTTGTTTAGTAAGATTATGAATGAAATTCAACCAATTTATTGCATATATAAAAACAGTCGCTACCAGAACATCTCAAATATGATATTGAATGACATGGATCTGAATCATCAAAACCAATTTTAAAAAAAGTGACCTATTAGAATTTCGTCAACATAATTGATCACACTTACCTAAAACAGACTACTAATAAGTACACTATGATTAGTATAGTTATGTTTAGTGATTGTGTAAGGTTTCCATACAATGTCAATCGTGAATAAAAAATCTATTAATCTCTTAAAGAATATTCACTATCTATCATTAACATCTTTCTTGTAAAGTAGTATGTTAAAAATGTGTGCAGAAAGTGTTGTTTAACATCAATTGAATGTACTTGGTTATGTAATCTACTTTTGACGATTATCTTCTTATTTAACCAGACACTCCTCCCTGACCAATTTGTCAACGAGTAGTAATTAGTATCTTATGGTATATACTAAGGAATAAACTGAATTATATACATGTAAGTATTTATGTATATACATATGCTTATCTATATGTATATTATGATCTCTTAACTATGCGGAATGATCTGTCCAGCTTGTTAGCCATGAAAGTCTATCCTTTTCCTATGTCAGAAGAACATTAAAAATATGGTTGAAAATAGCACTGCTCTAACTTTCAATGCTACCGCCAGTGATAAATGTTGTGTATAGGGTGAGTACTTCATCAAGTCAGACTTTTAAGAGCTTTTACGACTGTGTTTAACAATAGAAACGGAAACCTTCTAGATAAGTAACATCAAATAGCGAGTATTTTAAATGAGATAACATCAAATATTGTAGAATAAAAACTTGTAGCTTGACAATAGTTTGTTCACTGAACATGATAGGACACATATACTTATAAAGTGATTGTTAGATATAATTTCATTCATTTCCATTCAAAATATAAGCGAAGTACATCATTAAACCAAAAAAAAACGCAATCAGAAATCCGTTGTTATCTCTTACAAAAGTATAAATGTCAATCATATTGATCATTCATCATTATAAAGTACCCCAAATCACATACAATTGTTCTTTCTTATGGTTGATCAGATTCCATAGATCTAATTCGATTATGATCACTTAACTAACTGACACAATACCTAAGTTCAGTTTGTTTTACATCAGATGTTTGATATTGTGAACAGTAAACTAGGAAGATATTATTTTGAAACCTCACTCGAAGTATCAGTATTCTTATGGTGGCAACAAAATCCTGAGGGGATAATATCATCGAACCACACAAGAACATTTAGATTTATATGAATATTTGATCTAAACAGAATGCATGTTATTACTAATTGGTTGGGGTCCGCGTGACTATCATAACCAATGGTTGGAGACTCTGAGTGACATGGCTCAGAATCGATAACAATAGCGTCGGTGTATACACTCTCTGTCTTCCCTTAAACTATGAGATTAAAATCGCTTTATATCTTTCTTTCTACGAACTAATTCTTCCTTCTTGTACTATGTCGTGATATGCAATCTTGATTTTATATATTAACACCATTGAAGTAACTACTGCTATGAATCCGGTGTTCATCTTGCTGTGCTAATGCAATATGGCAACTTGGGCCGATGCATATATATGCCTGGTCCTACATTATAACTGACTGACTGACTGACTCTTCTTATCATTCCGTTTTATCTGCAGATCTCAATTTCATAAAGTACTTTAAGTAATAAATTGTGATGTACTTTATCATTAATCGTTTTCTCTATTCTCTTCTTTCTTTTCTTTTCTTTTTAATTTTCTCTTTCAGGTACTTCACAAGTTCATTCATATGTTCATATTTTCTGTTTATATTCAATCTATTAGATACTTTATTTTGTAATTTAACATTTTTACAAACATTCTTTTCAAGTTTAGATACATATTTACGATTAAAGAATCCAATATTTTATTTATCCTCATCATATAGAAGACCAGCATTATGGTTAAAAATAGGTTCACCATGGTTTATGGCTTGTATACAATCCATTGGTCAGATAACATTAAGTGATCGTCGTCATGTTAAATTATACACTGGTACAATCGAAACATCATCATCATCATCATCATCATCATTATCATCAGTTACATCAACAACTTATAAAGAAAGATAATGTGTAGAATGAGTAAGTGAAAAATGAAAGTTACTATGAATAGAACTAAACAGAAAAAAACACAATAAATGTGATAAATTCACTTGGTAGTGTTTTGCCTAAATCTTCCCATCGAGGTTTAAGACTCCGATTGATCACTCTCTTGTTGACATATATGTATCCTGTGTGTATTACCTCGATATCGCCTTAATTCACAAGCATTATAAGCAAAGATAGATACTGGTTAGCAGTGGAATACAGGACACGCGTTCCATCCTATTTGGGACTCGTCAACTGGACGTACCTACATCTCAGAGTTGATGTTCGCTCCGGGACTCGAACCCAGTACCACTCGCTTCAAACACCGTCGCGCTACCTACGTAGCTATTTAGTCCTGATAACCACTTGCTTGTGCAATGGGATGAAGTTTAAATTCACTTAAATTTGTTTGTTTGCATCTTCCTATTGATGTTTAGAACTGAAAATGATCAATCTCTTATTGCTATATATGCATACTGTATGTTTTGCCTCGATATCGAGGCAATCGAGGAAGACACAAGTAAACAATATCAAGTGAATTTAAACTTCACTCTATTGCACAAGTAAATGGCTATCAGGACTCAGTAGCTAAGTGGATAACGCTATGGCGTTTGAAGTGAATAGCACTGGGTTCCAGTCTTGGAGTGAACATTTACTCTGAGATGTAGATACATCCAGCTGAAGAATCCTAAATAGGACGAAACGCGCGTTCTAGATTTCACTGCTAGCCCTATTCATTTTTGCTTTTAATATATGTGATATTATGCTTGTCTTTATCACATACTGCTGAATGAATAAATGACTTATGCTTGATACTAAAACCCCGAATTCAATATTACGTAGTAAGAACATAAAATCTTCTTGTATGGATTTATTTAACTCTGTAAATATTATCAATGATCAGGTTACAAGTACACCTTGTGTACAATCCATAGGTGTTTATCAATATATCAATTACATTATTAAGCCTTAAATATGGTGTTACTTTTAATTCATATAATCATGTTGACAACAAACGATCTTATAGATTCATAATAATTTTCTTTTTGATTATGAAATTTTATTGTTCAGATAATTTAATTAGGCAATTAGCCGAATCTCGGCTTTCATCCTGGGAGGCATCATCTATAAACAAGGAAGATCAGATGTACACGTATTGGCAAAATAAGGGCGGCATTTTTACAACTGCAGAACATATGGAAGTCAAAACAACTGTCTGTCAGCCAATTTCAAAGTGGGAATTTTCAAAACCAACGTCAAGACAGTTTCACTGTACGGAGTTGAAGCTTGGAGAACTAATACAACCATCATCAAGAAGACACAAGTATTTATAAATAGTTGTCTATGCAAGATACTCAATATCCTTTGGCCGGATACCATCAATAACAGCCTAATATGGGAGTGACCAATTCAGCTTTCAGTTGAAGAGGAAATTAGGAAATGACATTGGAATTGGAAGCGAAAAAGATGAAGGCCAAAGAACACATTACGTCGAGAAATAGAAGCAGATATAAAAAGGATGAATAAAAATTGGAAAGAGTTGGAAAGGATTGCCCAGGACAGGGTAGGGTGGAGAGTGCTTGTAGATGACCTATACTCTTCCATGAGGAGTAACAGGCGTAAGTAAGTAAGATGAGCAAAGCTACAAAAAGATGTCGACCACCGGAATCAACACACACCTCGATGGTTACACATTCTTCATCAGCGTGAGATGACGTCAAATATCAACCGAGATTAATAAATTCAATTCTAAATATATATGTACAACAATAAAATGCAAACTTTAATATCCAATAATACATATCCTTTCTTGTTTCTTCTTGTAGGCTTAATAACTCAGAATGAGTGCCATAGTTATATTCACAACTATAGTGACCAATCGTAACTTAATTGTAAACATTCACTACTCTGACTTAATTTAATCTTGATGTGATTTGACTTTATCGAACCATCAATTAATGAAAACTATATTCTTCTTATATAAATATTACTGATGATCATAATTATTGATTTTACTGAATTAACGATCGTTACTCAATATGTGTGTATGTCTTACTCTTATCCTTTGTAACTGATTACATAACCAAGACGCGCAATGCTGACTAGTGTTAGAGACAGTTGAAAGAAAGTTAGGGGTGGCCTAACCAAAACGTGACATCATTGCTTGAAGTCAATAACTTCTGATCTGAGCCATGTTGGGAAATGCAGACTACTCGGTTGGGGTCCGCGTGACTATCATAACCAATGGTTGGAGATTGTGGGCGACATGGCTCACAATCGATCACAATGGAGTAGGTGTATACACTCTCTATCTTCCCTTAAACTATGAGATTGAAATCACTTGATATCTTCCTTTCTACGGACTGATTCCTTCTTACTGTACTGTATCCTTATACACAATCTTACTTTTATATATTACTACCATTGAAGTCACTACTTTTATCAATTTGGTGTTCATCTTGTTGTGCTAACAAGGTATGGCAACTGTTTCTATGTTTTAGCTGACTGACTAATTGATATTTCCTTCGTATTCTGGTACTCAGCATGTTAATTGAGATTTTAGAGATAGATTAAGTAGCAAACATTAAATTAAGTTTCCTTATTACCTCTCTAGTTGCACCCAAACTCTAATTACATAGTATTACGGGACAGAATTGAGGAAGATACCTGTAGATATATGAAATTCTGCATTGACAACATTCGATGAACTAATTTCAAATAGAATCAAATGTAAGCAATGATGGATAGTGGCTAGCAGTGGAATCCAGTATGCACGTTTCGTCCTGTTTAGGGCTCGTCAGTTGGATGTGCCTGCATCCCCGAGTTGATGTTCACTCCGGGACTCGAACCCAGTACCATTCGCTTCAAACGCCATCGCGTTATCCACTTGGCTACTGAGTCCTGATAGCCATCTGCTGTGAAATGGGGTGAAGTTCAAATTCGAAACGTGCATACTGGATTCCACTATCCATCATTACTTACAAATAGCTTGCGAATTAAGGCAATATCGAGGTATACGCACGGTATGCACATTTGCCAATAACACACTGATCAATTGCAGTCTTAAACCTCAATGGGAAGATACAAGCCAAACAATACCAAGTGAATTAGAATCAAATGTAGCTTTTAGATTTCACTGTTAACTACTAATTCAATGACTAGAGAAGTGATTAGTGTTTTTCTATCCATTTAATTTGAATGATGTATATATCATATATACAATTTGGATAGATATTTATACTCTATTCACTCATCAATAACATTCATTTATTTATTATGTCCGTTTTTTTTTTTGTTTTACCAGCAATTGGGAAATTGAAAACAGTATAGTGCTATGGAGATGGTTAAGTTTTGATTAAGATCATGAATCGATCAATGTAAGACTACCGTTTAAAACCTGGAAACACTAGACTCTTGTTTCGTCCTAGTATGAAACTCCTCAACAGTGCGCACCGTAGTGAACAGAACACGGGTGGGGACAATCGAATGTATCTAACACAAAATTACAGGACTTGTTAATATAATCTAACAATCAATCATAAAGTAAATACGTAATTTGTAAAATGTCTATCAGTTGTCTCAAAATGACTCAGACTTCATTGTTCTTACATTTTCATACAAATTGTATCCTGTCTCCATTCTTTACTGTTCGATCCTCTTGTTTCTCTGCTGCCAGACTTTTTGTTCACGACTAACATCATATACTACTTGTGTCAATATAAGTAGTACACATCACATGCATCATTGAATACCGATCTAATGGTCCAGAGATTAAATGTTCATGCATGAAATCAAAGATTCCGAGTTCGAATCCCGCATACGGAATCGTGGATATGCACTGTTGAAGAGTTCTATACTAGAACGAAACAGCTATCCAGTGCTTCTAGATTCTCATTATTGGTTTAGCATTAATCGATTCCTAATCTCAATCAAAAAAATGTGTCAAAACAGTTATCAGTTTATCAACAGTAGACAAGTAAACAAGCCAAAAATATTTTGACCAACAATTTTAATTATCATTTTATTACAGTTCTATGAAGGAAAACTAATCAATGATTTGTTTATTTCCTTTCTTTTAGTAAAAAATTATATTTTAGGGGGAAGGAGGCGAGGAGGTGTAGGGTGATAATTACTTCAATCGTAAAGAAAAGAAAAAAAAATTAAAAATTGATTTAATAGTTGAGTTGATGAGTCGATTAAAACTAGGCTACCATCATGGAAAACCTGAGAGTATTGGACGGTTGTTTTGTTCTAGTATGGTACTCCTCAGCAGTGCCTATCCACAACCTCACACCAGAAAGAACGAGAACCCAAAGCCTCCAGTTTCATATGCGAACATTTAACCTCTAGACCGTTGAGCCGGTATCCAAAAGTGTTGATGTTTAACCTCAATCAATCCACGAAATTGCGCGACCATCTTGCATTGTACTAAGGTAGATACTTGTCTCTACCCGATAAGGATTGTCTCCACTGCTTTAGAGGTTTAGCATTCGCTCGCGAGACTGAAGGCTTTGTGTTCGAATCCCTTCAATCGTGATCGTGAATGCGCACTGCTAAGAAATCTCACAATAAGACAAAAATGGCTGTCCAGTGCTTCCAGGTTTTCAATGGCGGTCAAACATCAGTCGAGTTCGTGATCTTAATCAAAAACTTAATAATCTCTACAACCCAATACTGATAAATATAACATTGGCCATTACTCATGACTAATCAGTTTTTTTTATATAGTTAGTCAATCTTTTTTAAAATTCATTAGAGATAATCATCAACTTACTCGCATTCTCCTGGTCTTGAACAAGTTCCATGAACTGGATGACAACCAATATTACATATTGCTAAGTATAAAACATATGGAATATAACAATTATCATATAATTTATATTTAAATATTTCAGTCTATAATATCTTTAAATTATTCAATAGAATAATTAACAATAATAATGAAGATTATGTTTTATCTGTAAGAAGTTCTATTTTCCTAT